CAATCAGTGTAGTTTTTAGTCATTAAATGCGGTGAAAACAAATGTATATACAAATGTGTTAAGGTCGATTTTTTCATTATATACATTCATTCAAGTTGTTTTTAATAGAATTATTACAAACATATCTTCTAAACTTTCAAAATTGAAATGGTCATACATTATAAAATAACATAAAAAGATGCATGTGAAATTTATTGTCAGTGTTGGTATGGCTCATATATTGACAAAGGAAGGAGTCAGGCTGATGCCTGCGAGCGTAGCGGAGCGGCCGAGCGAAGCTAGCGGAGCGGAGCCCCCGCGGTACGGTACGGGGTATTTAAGTAAATTAATACCTTGTAGGGTTATGATATAAACACATAGTGTATTGATGTATTGAGAACGATTTATAATAAAATATATCGCTCAGCCGCCGTGGACGTAGCCACATTGCCGAATCACGTAAATCTTGTGTTGTTTACTTTCTCGTGTTTAATTCGTATGCCATATTATCATATTTACACATCAGTTAGAAATGTTTGTAAATCAAGTTTTAACTTAAAGATCACATTAAGAATTTATTTATTATGATATGTTTATATAATTTCATAGGGGTATTGTATATAGGGAGAGAGAAAATAGTTGGATAGAGGGAAAGCAGCAAGAAACAGTGTTTGTGTACTATATGCAATGATGATGCAAGCAAATTTGGAGGGAGGGAGGGGAGTTTTAATGGTGAGATATGATAGGAGATCTCCTTTTGACGAACTTTTTTTTTTTATCTCTTCTGTTCTTTTCTGTGTGCATGAAGAAAAAACAAAGGCCATCTCAATAAACGTGTTTGTTTGTGTGTGCGAGTCTAAGATTTTATTTGTTTTTGGTACGGAATCTGCATTTTTTGCAGGCTTTGAAAGGAAATAATGGTGTTTAAGTTATGTGATTTGAGATTTTTGAGAATGTACATAATGTGAAAGGGCAACGCTATATGTACACCCCCTTTTAATAAATTACACAAAGAAAAGTGCTATATGTACACCCCTTTTTTACACTTGAGGGGGTGTACATATAGACACCCCCAATTACAATTAACTTCACTCCGTGGGAACCAGCGACTGGATAGGTGGAGAACAATCACTTCGGTGGGCCCTACAACTAGATAGATGGGGCCAACTTAGAGCTGGGAAGGCGAGCGAACAATCACTTGGAGATCGACTTTTTGTACGCGGTAGTTGAGTGTATTAGATACCTGGGAGCTATTGCGTGACTACCACTTATTAGTTGAGGGTATTAACTTCTTGAAATATGTGTATTATTTACAATAATTTAATAACAGAATTAAACAGTATGTATTAAAATCAATAAAATAGGAGGTAATAATTGCAACTTGTCGAATTTGATTGTCAATATGGGTATTTAAAACACTAGGAGCCTTGCGGCTGTGCTATGCACAGCCGGCCCATGTTAATATTCGAATTGAGTAGAAAAATAACCACGGCAATTAAATAGTTTCTTCCGTTATATTTTTTTTCACTATAGTACAAACAAT